CAAACAAACTAAAACATGTGCTTAAAATTCCAGTTTACATTTTTTTTTGTGTAGATAGTTTTCTGATTCTTTCTTATATTATTATTATTATTATTATTATTAATTTCGCCAGAGAAATAAATTCTAAGACTAAACTCTTAAAAGCACTAGTGTCTAAGGCTATTGGCTTTTTATTAAAAACTCTACCGCAGTTGAGATTCGAACCCACGACCATTGACTTGCTTTGTTATATTAATTGGGGATATCTGAAGAAACAGGCTTTGCCATACTTTCTTACTATTAAAAAGGAGGCAAAGAAAAATTTGCGAAGTATACGATTTGAATGCTATGAGCGAAGGAAGGGCCCAGAATGTCGATGTCAAAGAGGCAGTGCGCAGTCATTGAAAAAGTCGATGAAATTTTGCAAGCGGTGAATCAAACAAAGCCGGCACACAACTTGCCAGGAAATAGCTGGGACGCTAAACGTCAACGACATGACAGTTTGTAATCATTCGAAAAGAGCAGGCTACAAAAAGAAACTCGAAATTGCGGAGACTTTTCAATACGACCCAACAGTTCGAAGCAAAACTTTAAATAGCTTCAAGACAATTTAAAATTAAACTATAAAAAACGGAAGAAAAGTTACTTGCAATATTCTTATGTGATTTTACGGAAAATAGGAATAAAGATAGATATAACAATTTTTCAATCAATTAATCATTTTCATTGGATTACAGGTAAAACGATTGTTAAAACATTGGTGAACAAGGCGAACGCTTTCCAATTTGGGAACTCATCTTCCAAGTAATTTCTTAAATTTGCTATTTGCACTTTCTGTGCTGTAGAGGACCTAGATGCGAAGGCAAATCAAAGAAATTTTCTTCTTCTTCTTGTTCAGGTAAAAAGGATGTAATGCTTGCAGAGTAGCAAATGTGTAAAGACTGACGAAATTAATTTTTTTTTTTTCAGCATTTTAAATTGCAATTTCTATAACTTAATATTCCTGCTTTAATACTGAAGAGTTTTCTCTTCTCTTGAGTACCAAATTTCATACAAGGTCACAAAAGCGATGACAAGAACAAGCGTATAGGTTATATTTTTAAAATAAGACAAGAAATAAGACGTCTGTCATGTCCGGTACAGTGTTCAAGCATCAGGGTAAATTGTTGAATCGGTTTTGTTATATCTGTCCATCCGTTAATTTGTATATGGGCTCCGTTATGTGACTATCCTTTTCTTTCTGTTGTGCAATCTGATTAATCATTTAACTGTTCGTCACGGTTCGTCTCTCTCTCTCTCTCTCTCTCTCTCTCTCTCTCTCTCTCTCTCTTTGTCTGCCATCTATGTATCCATCCATCTTTTCATTGCCTGACTAGAAACTAAACACATGTAACCTTAACTATCTATATATATACGTTTGCCTGCCTATGGCTCTATCGTTCTCCCTGCCTGTCTTTGTCTGACAATGCACGCTTTTTCTGGACATTACTGGTAATCCTCTATTCATTACTGGCCTTCTGAATCTTGCAACTACATTCGTGTTGTCTCGCGATGAGCTGCTACACTCTATTTACTAAGATTATACAAGCCTGAACCGCTTTTCCAACAATGAGCTTGTGGTTCAGATGCCTTCCTCGTCTGCGAATCCCTTCCATCCTTCAGTGTCTTTCAACGGCATTCCTAGTAGATTTAACATTGAATTGAGTCTAGCTTGCGCAAAGCCGGTTACTTTGCAGCCTATCTTCTGCCCACATCTCTTTGAGCCTGTCTCATTGGGGATGAGTAACGCTGAATATGTATTATTATGAAGAAACTGAGACTCAAACCTTGTGGTACCCTGTGATCCTGTACTCTTCAATGATCTGATAAGTGCTATATTTCAAGACTCTCTCTTGCACATAACCGTTCAACATTTTAGACAGGTATCGAGTATTTCGATAGTGCATTTTAAATTTCGATAATGATTTCCCAACAACAATGCCCTGCCTGTCGGATAATGCTTCGATAGAGCTGGTTTATTAAAAATAAATTCAATTCATTTGTTGATAAAATTCAACTTTATTTAAAGGACAATTCTTACAAAGCTTAATAACGAAACTATTTACCATCTTTATCTGTTGTCTTTTGTCCCTTAAGAAGTCGCTTACAGATGCCTTTACGGTAAAAACATGGCGGTCATCAATCTCTTTATACTTTAATTTACACTGAACGACAGCTTGGAAACAACCGACCGCTACGCTTACATTTAATTTATATATATATACTATATATGTATATGTCTTTCGGATCATATACGTTCTATTAAGCAATCAATTCCAATGGATAGAATTTACACCCAATAGATTTTTTTTTGACAAAGCTGGCTTTTCTTATCAATCCGATTTTTCTGGTCTGTATAGCATCACCTTTGCCCAAGAGATTGCCTACACTGACCAGCAGACAAAAGGCATGATAGAAAGATGGACTTTTGAAAGGCTTATTGGGCTTTTTTAACAAAGCGATCATCTGCCTTCGTAAAAACACCTTGTGTGAAAGACAAGTTATATGTACCACAAAAGGTGGCAGTATATCTGACATTCTTCTTCTCTTTTCGTGCGTCCGTTTGTTTCACCTATACATTTCATTTTGGAAAAGTCATTACTGTTTTGAAGGTTGCTACAGAAGATCAACTGTTGTCACAAGTTCTTTCTTTTTCAGTCTTCAGTCAAGTTCTTTCTTTGCAGTCATCGTATTAGATGAAGCTCTCAAATCAATTACTACGTATGTAAATATGAGACCGAAATTTTCCCATTGATGGCACGACATGAAATCTACTCCGTTCTGCACCATTTTCAGTGTCACAGAGATCACTCAATATGTGTTCTTTGTCTACAAACGAAAATTGGAGAGATTTCACTTTCAGACAATCTCGTGACGAAGATGCTGCACGACTTAAAAACGGCAAGACTCCCTGTGAAGATATACCTAAGCGGTTGTACCACAGGGTAGGTGATAGAAATGCAGGTGGTTTGTGGCGCATTAAAGTCTTGCGCTCCCCTAAATGGGTGACTTTCGCTACTTTCCTATTCAAAAAAAAAAAAAAAATCCACACATACATTCACACACACACACACACACACACACACACACACACACACACACACACACACACACACATAAAAAACAAACGTCGATAAGACAGTCAGGAATGTGTACGTCCCTCTGCTCAGAACTAAATGCACATGCACAAGAACTCGGTGTTACATGAAAACAAAAGCGAAAAAGAGGTACAATAATATAAATATCATAAATCTCAAACTGTTGTATAATAAAAATTCAATAAAAACAAACGCAACGCCTGGCGTTCTTTTATTATTTTTACCCTACAATGCAATAACGACCACGACAGCAACAACAATTGTAGGGTCGAGATTACCACTCGACGACCACTAGTTGCACTAACTAATGTTACAAACTCTACTATGCATAGTTGCAGAAACAACGCGAGACAACTGTGACTGGAAAATAATGCAATATAGCGTATATATATACACACAGAAATATATATATATATATATATATATGTACGTTATGTACACTACCATATGTATATATAATTTAAAAAATAAAAATAAAATAACTATAATAAAACTAGGAAGGGTCACGATAGTCAAACATACAAACATACGTACATCAGCATTAACGCGTAAATGCTTTGGTTTACAAATTGAAAGTTTGGTTTGTCATTTAACCCCAGCCTCTGACTCTATTACTATCTAACCATGGATAATGCATACCACAGACGTACGTACACAGATCCCAGCACATAATAAAATCACACATTGCCTATAAATTCGCATATGTCGGTAAGTAAGTACGTGTTCATGTTATAAGCACAAGCACAGGCATTGGCGCAGATCTGAGCATAGAGTGTGTGCTGTTGGTCGCGTGATTTAAGTACAAAATGATAATTATGTACAATAAAAACGATTTATTTGCTTATGACAGCTTAGCATAATAAATAATGTTTAAAGCCAACTGGGAAATGACAACCATACAATACTACAATTATATACTCACACTAATGCAGATGAACATTTATATATATTTACATTTATATATATTTACATTTATATATATATATATATATATATATGCACTCGCATTACATATTTATTAAAATTACCATTATAAAA